ATTAATCATTATGTAGTATGCTCACAAAGTTTGTCGTTTAAAAAAAAAGTTTGTCATCTTCCATCAATAACTTATTTGTTTCATGATTTTGAAATTTAACTACATAGCTAATGGATTCAATGCACTTCCATTAAAAAAAAAAACATATGTTTGATTTTTCCAAAATATTTTGAAATATGATGTAAATTGATATTTATGTTGTCCCTGCATAGCAGGGTCATAATGCTAGTATGTATATATATCATGAACATAATATGCTTGTGATTATATTTGTCAAATATATTTTGAAAATTGTATACTAGTATATGACTAAATGATTTTATTTTTTGCATGTATCCTTATTAATTATGTTAAACATTTAAAATTAGTATAATAAAGTCTACATATATTATTCAAATATTGTCAAATATAATAAACATTTTTTGCATGTATCCTTATTGATTTATTCATTAATGGATTAATGGAATGCGTCACATTTGTACGCCAGTTTTGATTATTAATAGTATGTATAATTACGAATCCATGCTCTTGCTAAGCTAGCAAATCGCGAATTTTAAAGTTAAAGTACTTACACGCCATTCAAATTAATTAGAATGTTAGTGTCCATAACTGCCCTGCCCAGCATATACTCTGGGTCTCTTTCGTGTAATTTTGATCAGGCCTTTATTTGAGCCCATTAATTTAGACAAAATTACCTAACAATTGATATAATTTTTCCAGTTGGAAGAAATTTTAGCGGAAGAAAAATAACACTAAAAATGACGGAATTATGAAAATTAACGACACAATATAATAATGTTACTATCTTTTTTTACTATTTTGTAATCGGATTTAAAAAAAAAAAAAAAAAACTAACAGCATTTGCATAATCAATCGATTATTATTCAAGTTCTCACAATCGGAATATGTTTTTTTTTTTCAAGTTTCTTTATGTCGGCAATCAAATAGTAAATCAGGCTGTTACCTTTTGTTCGTAATATATTGTATAAAGAAACAAAATCGAGTTCTGCCCAACAAAAAAGAAACAAAATCAAAAAAAAAAAAAAAAAAAAAAAAAAAAAAAAAAAAAAAAAAAAAAAAAAAAAAAGAAACAAAATCGAGTGTGAAATGCAAGGAGCGTGAAGGACGGCGATAACAAGTTCAAAAGGCTAATTACATGATTTTAGTTATAGCGAAAAAAGGAAAAAAAGGAGTTGACGGCGTCAAAAAGACACGTGAAACCCAATAAAATCTTCTCGAAGTTTCATGGAATAGTCGACACTTCAACTGACCTGACACATCACCCAACTCTCATATGCCGCAGCTAACGGCGGTTTAACGGTAACGGCTACCGCCCATAATGCCATTTCCCATTAAAAAAATACTAGGATAGGATTATCAAATAACCTTTTTTGTATAACGAGTGTATAACAAATCAGGATGAGAAATACGTTTAATCAAAAATAACTAGATAGTGACTTTAGAGATTATTCAGACGATGATTTGGAGAAATTTTTTTGTCTCTAAACGAAAAAAAAGAGACACGAATGTGTATGTAATCTAATAAATACGTAAAATGGAAATAAGTGGTCCTTGTTTGGTTGCAGAGTTCCAATAAGGTGTTTTGTAATAAGCAGAAGTCTAACACGTGGCTCACGCGCCACGCCACAAAGCACATGGACCCAATAGGGACCCATTTCACGCGCGCACACACGTGGGAATGATATCAGCGTCACAGCCGACGCAACTATTTCCCTATAGTGACTGTCTGTCACGTTACGACATTTCACAGCGCCACCTGTCCCCATATTTGGTAACATGTGTCCAGGTGAAGCTACCTGCGTGGCGACTTCACATTGGTTGAAACTTTATTACAAAATATACTCCCCTATTATTCTCATTCTTCTTCATACGAACCCCTACCTTTTTCAGGAATTAATATTTTTTTTTGTTAAAGACAGGAAATAAATTTTTATGGTGCAAAACTTTAGGAAGCTCTGGTATGGATAGGATCCTTTGATAAAAATGTTACTACTAATTATTTATAGTGAAAAGAAAATTGGTTTTAAAACTTGATCTAATAAAGAACATCTTATTGAATTTGTTTATGTGTTGTACTCGAGTATTAAATTTACTAAGAAAAAAAAATCTTCTTCTCCAATTAATGAAATGCCGGTGAATGATGTTACTTTTGAAACTAATTTTGAAGCGGTGCGTAATGGAACTGTAGTTAATTTCCTGTGAGCTTTTAATGCAGTGTGCCATAAAAATGGATGATTGAGATACTTTTGTTGAGATTAATAAATGAGGGGTTGTAGATGTAAAATATCAAAAGAAACGGGATAAATAAGCAATAAAGATAAAATATGTGGCCGACTTCGAATCGGGTGAGAAGAAAAGAGAGGGAAAAAATCTGGTTGGTTGGGATTGAGATTCTGGATGACCTTAATATGAAGCGTGTGGGTTCCACCAAGAAAAAGCGGCCGCCGCAGCTAATCTTGTTTCACACGTGTCTCTCAGTGAAATGAATTATTATTATTTTTGGTTAAAAGATTTAAATGACTTATAATTATTCCCACTTATCAGGCTAATATATTTTTTAATTAAGATGTGATCCTGATATCCATATCTGCAACTAACCTGTATTTTATTAATTCTATATACATGACCCATCATCCATGTGTATAATTGGTGTGCCTATTTCTCTGCATATTCTTATTCTTTTTTTTATTTTTAATTCCAACTTTCCGGTATTTTTTAATCTGGAAACTAATCTGATTGTAACGTTTCTGGTATTGAAAAAATTGTGGGAGGTGGGGTTTTTGGGGGAGCAAGATAATGAGATGAGGGGCCAAAATGAAATTACCTCAATTTACGGAGTCCTTCACGTAAACAAATGAGGCTAGTAAATAAATAAATAAAATAATAATGAAAAAAAAAGACAGTGAGAATCAAACTTTATCGGACGGTGGAGATGCACGTGAAGACAACCCAATATCCCGACATAAACCTCGTCAACACGGAATTTACATCCCATGCCACTTTCACACGCGCCATATGCTCAACTACACGCATCTACTGTCCAATTTCCGGTTTTCACTCAAGAAATACGTTAACAGCTCGATCGAACCAGGTTTTGAACAGCTCGATCGAACCGGTTATATATTTATGGCAACCTCTCAATTTTTTTTTTTTTGTCAAAGTGGAACCTCTCAGTTGTTAAGCTATCATCCTTAAATTATGAAGGGAAACAAATGAAGTTAATATATTAGTTGCTGACCAGAAAAAGGAAATAAATCCAACTATACTTGTGTAAAAATGATGAAACAAATATTTTAAAGTTAATAAGATGTATAACAAAAAAAGTCATATCTACACCTTTCTTAAAAAGTATTAGAAATGTCTTACATACTCTGATTTCATTTTTCTTTTTTAAATACCAAACTTTAAAACATTCAATTGAATATGATAAAACATAAGTTACTTCTGGAAATAAGTTTGTAAACATTTATATACTCGATATATACTCTTTGAGAGGACAATGACTTGAAATAATACTAAAAAGTCTTTTCTCATAAATATATTATTTTAAAAAAAAAAAGGAAATGTGGGCGCCACCGTCTCTGATTCGGTCTCTTCTGAAAAGGATGATGACTCGCGCAGCTTGGCCGTCGGTGCCGCCTCACTCTTTATTTTTTTTGTTTAATTAATAAACATGTAATTCCAGGATCCGGACACGTGGACAATAATAGAATCTAGCCGTTGGATCTACACGAGAATCACGAAAGGATAGTTATTGAGTCTTTTTGATTGCGGAGTTGGAGACAAGAATCCAATCAAACATCTCCTCTCTGCCTCTCATTATGAAGCCGCTTTTTATCTCACACCTTCTTCTTATACATCGTCGTTTTTCTTTCAAACTTACATTTTCAACACTCATGCCATCATTCTTTCGCAAGTTAAATTTACTTTCCGCACAAATTTAAACGAAGAAAAGTAAATTCCTAAAAATCAGCTAGAAATAATTGGCCAAAAGAATATATCTCTATAAATAGCACTATTAGCTTAACGGGTCAAATGATGTTGTTTTAGTCCAATTCAACTCCGAATCAATTCAACGTCATAGTTTAAAGAAATTAATTTTCATTATAAACAAGATATCCTATAAAGCTTTCAGATAAAAACCAATATCTAGACTAGTCATAGTTGTTTCTTTAGAGACTTTGTTTACTCTTCTCTTTTTTTTGCCGACAACAAATTTGTGTACACAACTAGATTCTTGTTTTAAGATATAAACTCTTTTCTTCCTGGCAATTTCTTTTCCAAATGGAAGAATCTATCAATTAAAAATCTAGGTTCTCTCTGTCAGACCTTAGAGTGATAATACTCTCAGCTTCAAGACTCATCCAAGTTCGCTAGAAAGAGAGAAGAAAAGAGTATGTCCGTACTCTGTTAGTGGACCCTACTTAGTGACGTAAGCGCGGATAATTTTCTAACTTACGCCGCAGAGAGCAAAACCGGGGCCCACTCACGCCGGCTGCGTGTCTGCTGGAAACTTGGACCATTGTTAAAAGCCGACGATACTCAACTACCTTTTTTTGAAAAAAAAAATTAATCTTACTTAGTTACTTTTAATTTTAGATTTCTTTATACTTCAACTTACAAATAATTTTTGTGATTTTAATTAATATCCAATTAGTAATTTTATGCCGCCGGACAAAAGTACACAAAATAGTAATAAAAAAAAAACTCATTAGACAACACAAGATTACCAAATTATTGATTGAAAATTTGGAATAACAAAAAATAAAAAGTGAAAATAGAGAAACAACATGGTGAAACCAAGTCGCAAAAAACTAAAAAGCACACAACAAAAGTTCAGATCACCGGTTATGTAATAATATGTACATAACGTTCCATGTTAGCTAAAATTATATTTTTCTCTCTCAGATTTAATTTCTTTTTTTTCTTTCTAAAAACTGATAATAATTTTAGGCTGAGAGAGAGAAAACAAAAAACTATGAAAAACGAATTCTCCCAGCTCAAAGGAAAAAAAACGCATGCGCATCGAATTGAAACGACACCGTTAAAAGCTCAGGCTTGTTCCGACGGGGGAGGCAAGTTTAGATCTAGATCGAACGGCTGAGATCTCTTCTCCATTCCACCTTCGAAATCAACGACGGAAGACGAATCAGAGTCGCTCTGGGCCCCACAAGCCATCTTCGTCGGAACATGCACCACCGACGATCTAAACGCCGATGTCACAGGAGGAGGCTGACCACGACCTACGTTCCCGATTCCCATCAGGTCCAAAAAGTAGACAGGACGCGCCATCGGGATCTGATAACACGCGCCTCCTCCGAGGCTAAGCTCAAGCTGCGGCGGAACATTCCCAACCGTCGCTGATGGCACAACCACCGTCGGAGGAGAAGCACAGTCAAGCGTGCTGCTCTGGCTAGGGCTACGCGTGAAACCGGTAGGCACCTTCTGATCACTCAGCTCGAGAAAAGTCGGGAAATTGGTCTTAGCCTTAGCTCCACGAAAATCACGCGCCGCCGTATCGTAAGCACGCGCCGCCTCTTCAGCGGTATCGAAAGTACCAAGCCAGACACGGGTTTTCTTGCCTGGATCTCGGATCTCGGCGGCATAACGGCCCCAAGGACGCTTCCTAACGCCTCTGTAACGAATCTCCTTGGCATTATTGTTGGTCGGGTTAGTAGTAGCCGGGTCGGGTTTCAAGCCCATCTTAGCCATATTTGGAGAGAAAGAGAGAGAGTGGTGGTGTGATAGATAATTGAAGGGAGAAGAGGAAGGAAGAGAGTTGTTTATATATATAGATGGGAAAGAGAGTAAAGCGACGCTCCTTTTGGGGCGCTTTGTTGTGAACAGTCAAAGCCTGAAATGGTTTTAGCGGCTTCTCTTAAAAAACACCAGCGGTTTTCATGGTTTTCTTTTTTACCTCCACTTATCTTTTGCCACGTGTTTTTGTTTCCTCTTTCAAAGAATTTTGTTTTTCTTTTCAACCCTTCATTTCTTTTTTTACCTCACCAAGCGTTTTCAATTTTTGTTGATCATATTAATGATTTATTGATGTATTTGAACAGTTAAATACATTGTCAAAAATATAGATATAGATGTAGATAAAAAATTAAATACATTAATTTGATTGACTTTATACTTTTTAAAATAAAACTTAAATACATTGTCAAAAATATAGATTTGATTTAGATACAAAATTAAATACATTAATTTGATTGACTTTATACTTTTTAAAATAAAACTTTTTATCACTGTATCTTTTTATTTATTGATGAATATTTGGCAATGAGAAAATTAATTAAATTATATAATCTTTGCATTAATGTTCTTGATGAAATAAGGTTAAAATTAGAACTTACTCTTATACATATTAAATAAATTCGTATTTTGAATGATTTATTTCGTAGTGGAAAATATAGGATGAAGAGTCTTTGTTTTTCTTTTTTTTTTGTAAAATATTTTAACTAAGAGTGAGATTTATTTATTATCTGTATGTACCAAAATTTGATACAATGTAACAAAAAATTAAAGAAATCCTTACAGTATTTTACGCAATTAATGGAGATGCATGTATTTTGCTGTTTTGCCCACACAACGTATTCCCTTAAATGCTGATAAGATTTTGATTTTTTTAAAACGAGGGAATTAAGAATGTAATCCCACATCATAATTTAATATATATGGTTAATCTAACTACGAAATTAATATTATGAGCCATTTACCCTCGTGATTTAGGATATATATATAACTACTACACAAGCTTGCTTTAGTGAGTACAACCTTTTCTTTTCTTAAGTGAGTACAACTTGTTAATTGTTGCATTTGAATTTGCACGCTTAGTTCCGAAATTGTTCTTAAATTGTTCCAGTTGAGTATAAGTTTATCACCAAACAAAACAAAACGTTCGACCTTGTTGCCATAAATATATAAACACTTGTAATTTATTTGGACTCAGTTTTGTTTTTTCTCAATATTTTGAATCATCCTTAATGCTGCAGAATCGAGAAAAAAAACTTGAATAAACCTGTGAGTGATTTCATTTACAGAGTAACTAATTTTTCAGATCATATATTCAGTTTATGTTGTCCAAAATGCAGTGTTATCTCAAATGTTTGTTTCTAATATTAAAATTTCTGTAAGAGCAACTAAAAGTTAAAGATACTAGGTGAAAAGCTTAGAAGTACTGGTAAATCCACTCAGATACGGTAATATAGTCTGCGAGTTAAAGACAATAAATTCAAAAACTAGGAAATAAATTAGCAGCGGCGCCTGAAAAGCAGTGGAGAAGAAGAAACCAAACAAACGATATTGGATGACGCAAAAATGTCAAAGACGTGGCAACACCTTGATGACGCGCGGCTAAGGAACCGCGTTTCCATGTAGGCGCGTGAATTTCACCGCCAAACACGTGCCGACGGCGATCGCGTGAGAAAGAGCGTTATGCGTGACTTCTTAGACTCAGCTCCAATTCAACTTTGAGTTTGACTGCTTTTTATTTCCTTTTTCTTTCGTGGAAATAAAAATAAATAAAACAAAAGGCTACATAGCCGCCCCTCCGCCAAAAAAAAAGATAGGCCCACTACGCACTCGCTATTTAAACAATAAAGAATTAATTTAAAGTTGGTTTTTAAAGATGTATAGTGCCACGTGGTCAACGCGACGCGTGGAGAATAGATTGAGAGAGAGAGAGAATGGTGGCCGCGTCGGCTAACCGAGAGAGATTCTAACGGCGGTGGGTCCGCCGTTTGTTTTTGTTTCTTTGGGTCCGAATGGTGACAGCGTATTTGGCTTTGTAAGAAAAGCGGTTTTTCTGTGCGGTACGGTCTAACTGCGGTACAAGCGAGAAAAATGTATTTGCGGAATAAGTGCGGTTTTTGTAGAATAAGCGGTACCAAATAATATTTGATTGGTGAAAAAATAATTAGCGGGATACATGTTGAAGTTTTAAAAATATAGTTAATATGTTTTTGATTTAAGTATATATATAACTTATTCCATTTTAATAATTTAATAATTGAGTAATTTTGGTGAAATTTAAATAAATATAGTTTATATATAAGACAATTATTTGAAAATTTTAAAATATAAATGACTTTAAATTAATATTAAAACTTTCAATCTATTTAATTAACTATAGTATTTGAATTTATATTATGAGTTATGTATATTTTGTTGTTTGTATAAAAACTATTGAAAGAAAATTAAAACTAGAGAAAAAACTATTCAAAAGAAAAAAATTAATAATAGTTGACAAAAAAAGACTATTAATAATAAATGTGCGGTTTTGTTGAAAACCGCTTGAAAATAACTCTGTCCCTTTAAAAATGCGGTCCAAGGCAAATTTGAGAGCTGTGTTTTGATTTGCGTTTTTTTTTCTTTTTTTTTTTTAAAACGCTAATTTAGAAAAGATGCGTTGATTGGGAGACGTAGTGCGTTTTTCCAGAAAAAAACATTGAATTCCGCTTTTACATGCTTCCCAATCACAACCTTTGTTTCCTAAAAGACGGACGGTAATTACATTCATTGTGACGGCAGAACAAGACGTGTGATTAACATTACTTTTAGATTAGTTAATTTCATTTAATTTGGTTAATTGCCTCTTTTAATTATTCTTTTACGACAGCTACATATGTCTTCACGCCATGGATAATGGATTGGGTTTTCTTGGGCCACAGAATCAGCTGGATATCACAATTTATACATTTATCTTTACGTTTCATTAAAAATGTAACATATTAATGGATTACGAAGATACTGTTTAATTTCTTAAACATGATTATAGACTAGCTAGCTAGCTTCTCTTTATGCTCTCTCTGTATTCAAACTAGGTTTGTATTTTGTAAGCAAAACTTTCGATACCAAGCAATATCACTTCAATCGAAATAAAAAAAAATCGAAATTTTTTCTTTTATTTTGTCTGGGACTATCATAGTATCATGTACTAAAATTTGTTATTACCATTCGTATGTCACAAACAATCTCTAATAAATAGTGCTGTCCTAAAACAAATTTACATATCACTTTCCAGTGTATTGTTTTTGTAAGAAAAAAGTATGTATTTTTTGTATGAAAACTTTTATAAAACTGAAAATTGTAATACTCTAATCATAACTCAGTAGATGAAAAATTATATTAACTGCAATTTTTTTTTTTTCACTGCAATAATTAATCACCAAAAAATATTAATTGCAATAATTTTGTCTATTGTTACGTTTTACTTTGGAAGATCTTACAGAGTTTTGTGAAGATGGGAGGGAAAAACAAAATTGAAATCTTGTTTCAGCTACAAAATGCTCTATGGCGGCGCCGGATCTCTTCTTCCTCATCCTTGGTCGATCTTCGCAGTGTACCGAATCATAAGAACAACATCACTCTCTCCAGGTTTCACTTTCTGGGTATTAATCAAGCTACGAACTTTCTTCATTCTATTACAGCTTCCGACAAGTTTCCTAATGGATTCAACGACGACAAAGACAAGCAATCTGCTGTTGATGTTCAAAACATCATAAAGCATCACCGTGGAAGTTCACCTGTAGAGATTGAGCGGATTCTCGATAAGTGCGGGATACAATTAACCGAAGAGCTGGTTTTTGAAGTGGTTAATCGGAATCGATCTGATTGGAAACCAGCTTATATACTTTCTCAATTGATAGTTAAACAATCTGTTTATCTATCTAGCTCCTTGGTGTATAACGAGATTCTCGACGTTCTTGGGAAAATGCGGCGCTTTGAAGAGTTCCACCAAGTGTTCGATGAAATGTCTAAGAGAGATGGATTTGTTGACGAGAAGACGTACGAAGTTTTGTTAAACCGATACGCTGCTTCACACAAAATTGATGAAGCAGTAGGTGTGTTTGAGAGGAGGAGAGAGTTTGGGATAGAGGATGATTTGGTTGCATTTCATGGGCTTTTGATGTGGTTGTGTAGGTATAAGCATGTCGAATTTGCGGAAACTTTGTTCTGCTCTCGTAGAAGAGAGTTTGGCTGCGATATTCGAACGATGAACATTATTCTCAACGGTTGGTGTGTGTTGGGAAATGTTCATGAAGCAAAGAGAGTTTGGAAAGATATCATCGCTTCTAAATGCAGGCCAGATGTTGTCAGCTATGGGACAATGATAAATGCATTGACGAAGAAGGGGAAATTGGGAAAGGCTATGGAATTATACAGAGCAATGTGGGATACCGGAAGAAATCCGGATGTTAAAATCTGCAATAACGTTATTGATGCATTGTGTTTTAAGAAGAGAATCCCAGAGGCTCTTGAAGTATTCAAGGAGATGAGTGAGAAAGGTCCCTCCCCGAATGTTGTGACGTACAACTCGCTTTTAAAGCATCTCTGCAAGATAAGGAGAACTGAGAAAGTTTGGGAGCTGGTGGAAGAGATGGAACATAAAGGTGGTAGTTGTTCGCCTAACGATGTGACATTCGGTTACTTGCTTAAGTATTCGCAGAGATCGAAGGATGTTGACGCAGTTTTGGAAAGGATGGCGCAGAACAAGTGTGAAATGACAAGCGACTTGTACAATTTGATGTTTAGGTTATATGTGCAATGGGACAATGAAGAGAAAGTGAGAGAGATATGGGGTGAGATGGAGAGAAGTGGATTAGGTCCAGATCAGAGAACATATACTATTAGAATTCATGGTCTGCACACAAAGGGGAAAATTGGAGAAGCATTGAGTTACTTTCAAGAGATGATGTCAAGAGGAATGGTGCCAGAGCCAAGAACTGAGATGTTACTGAACCAGAACCAGAACAAGACCAA